TTCACACAGGGCTTTGTAGTTTTGGATTTTGTTTTCCCTTAATAATAAAAACCTTCATTTAAAAACTGCATGATGTGTTTACTTGTGTTATCGTTGACTAATATTTAAATTTGTTTGATGATCTGAAACATTACAGTGTGACAAACATGCAAAAAGATAAGAAATCAGTAAGGGGGCAAATACTTTTTCACACCACTGTACTTGAGATGAAGGGCTATAAATACAGGTTAACATCTCCAATACAAATGTAATGCTATTAAATACAGAATGATATTCTATGTCAGGTGTAAAGGTACCCTGTATGTACCTGGTGGTTGGCCCTGCATGTCCATTGGCTGCTGGGACTTGCCGCGTGAGGATCGGTGTGGGTCCCCCTGTCTAGAGGTGCGCTGGCCGTGGTGGTGCCCAGAGGGATCCCGGGAGTAGTCCGAAGAGTGGTACCCTCCCTTTAGGGTGTCCCTTAGATGACCTTGAGGACCTCTGCTCATCTGCATGACGTGACGTAGATGAGTGTTTGCTAGCGGTGCCATGATGCCGGTGGTCACGGGATGAAGAGTGTCGCCCTCCATGGCCATACTCGTCCTGGGGCCACAGGTCCTCCTCAGGAGGCTCATCATAATCGTGGTAGGTATGTTTTACACCGTGTCGACTCCTCCCAGTTGAGTGGCTACCGCTGTAGTGTCGAGAACTGGATCGTGGCTTCTCAAACCAGTCAGTTTCTTCCTGGCCCAGATGGTAGGCTTTGGAAACCGAGAGTAGATCACAGTCAATCTCCATGTCGTTTGGAGACAGCGACATGCAGGCTGAGAGAAGGAAGGAGGCAGGAAGGAGAAGACCAAACGCATGCAAAAGAAAAGAATAGGAGGGGGAAGACAAAGAAAGGCAGAAAATAAAAATAAAAAGTTTTACATCCATGCAGAATACTCGACAGGTCACCTTCACATATTACACGACAATATAAACTGGATAAAACAAACAATGCCACTGCAAAACTGCCCATTTCTTGACCTAATTTTTTTCAGTTTCAATTTTAAAGCCAAAGACATGGGTGAAAATGAATGCTAAAGTTTAAATAACAGCCCTGTAAAGAGCAAACATTAAATTTATTAATTCTACTGTATGAATACAATTTAATTATTGCAGTGAGACAGTGCTGGCCCTCACTGAAAGATAAAGTCTAAATAAGGCTTTGACTGTGAAGGAGTGTTTTGCAGTGTAGACAAAGAATTCATAAATCAAACTACATGTAAAGAAAACATCAATGCCAAAGACATAATTAAAGATAAAACCCTGTAAAAACAATGTATCTGTGTCGTGCAAAAAAGACCTTTCAAGTGAATCAGTATAGCGGACGCAGAAAACAACCACGCCGAAGAACCATGCGAGTACTGGACACACAGACGACTGGACGAACAGGCGGAAAGGCGTACAGGCAGGCAGACAGACAGCAGTCCACTGATAAGAAAGCTCCAAGTGACTCTCAGGAAGAAGAAAACATCAGCATGCAACGGCTATCTCTGTCTCTCTTTTTCTTTCTCTCTCTCTTTGCTATTCCTAACTTCTGGGTGGGTGGGGGACGTTTAGATAAACGGTAGGGGCAGTAGTAAGTAGTGAGACTGTGGGCATTCAGCTCCCACAATTACCTTCACTATCTGACACAGCGCAATGATAATCGTCTATAATGTATGTATCATCCGATTTGTAGACGTGTGTCCGGGGAAGGTCCCGTATGTGGTCTTGTACGTCTGGCAGTGAGTGGCTGGAACCATAATGGCCATAATAGTAAGGATATCTACTGTAGCGACTGTTGTACGGGTCGGGACCTAAGCTTGATGATCGGCCAGAACCCATGAACCTCCCCAGGGGACTGAGTGGACTTTCCTCTTCAGAGTATTGCCGAGTTGGGTGGCGCCCCCGGCTGTAGCCAGATCGGTAGGAGCGATCATCCCTCTCATAAGATCGGCTGCGATACCCAGGGTAGTCCCTGGCTGAGATCTTGTCCATGCCATAGCCAGTAGAGCGGGAGCGGCCAGTAGAGGTGTAGTAAATTTGATCTTCATCCTCCACCATCGATCCATAGTATCGACTATCATGAGTAGTGCCACCGTTGCCCTCAAAGGCACTCCTCTTAAAGCCATAATCTTCAATCAGCTGGCGCCCTCGAATGGGGAAGGAGGGGTAAGCCCCACCTGTTGATGAAGAATAGGAGGCTAGGTCTGCCTCCACATCCCGAGCCTCCTCAATAGGGGAAAACTTGGAGATTTTTTGCTCCAAACTCCCCAGTTTCCTGTGCTTGCTGCGCTTAGAGGACATGACAGCAGGAGCCAGAAGGCCTCTGGAGGACAGTGAAGGTTTCTGTACCCCAGAGCGGACACTGCCAGGTTTGTAGTCGTAGTCATAGTAATAGGGGGATCCCCCACCCATGCTAGCGCTCACGCTGCTGCTGCCCCCTAGAGGTCCGTGCCTGTAGCTGCTCTTACCCCTGCTGTGGTGGTCGTACAGCTCTTCCTGCATCGCTGCTTCCTCCTCAGGTGCCCTGCCATATGAGGAGCTGCCAGTTCCCCCACGCGTTGTGCTGCCAATGGTGCTGATGTGGCCATGGATATCGCCTGAGTAACGCCCACTGCTGCCATGATGCATCATGTCCCCTGTTGTTGTGCCCAGCCCATCTTTTGCCGTCAGCTCGCTTACATCGTCAATCATCATGTAGTTTCTTGGGATGTTTTGCTCTAAGCCAGGAGCCCCATACATCCCATCTGCCGTGCTGTAGGTGGAGGGACTATCTACAGAATGTCCATAAGCACTGGAAACTGTAGAAGTATACTGTCCATAAGAGCTGGCTGTGGTGGCGGTGTAGCCATAAGTATTAGCAGTGGTTGTGGTATACTGGCCATATGAATTAACTGATGCAGAAGTGTACTGGCCATAAGTGCTGGGTGGCATGGTGGAGTAGCCACCATAGCTGCTGGACACTGGTGCTGAGCCATAGGGCCCATAGGAGCTGGCCATGGTTGTTGTTCCAGTGTACTGACCATAAGAGGGGGCTGCACTGGAATAGGTAATGTCCTGAGCCGTGGTAGTGACCACCACCGTGGGGTTGCTAATTGTCTCGTAATTGGTGGGCATCTTGTGCTCCAGATCAGCTAGTGAAGTCTGCCTAGGTCTACCTGGATGGACTGTCAGGATATCAACTTGGGGCTGCCCAGGGTATGGGGTGGTCTGGCTCGAGTAGGAGGACACAGCGCTGGGATAAGGTGAGCTGTGGGTGGGGTATGGGGGCTGACCAGGTGGTGCAGGGCCAAAACCTGTATGCCCCGGCTGGGGCTGGGGCTGAGGCATACTTGGTAACCCAATGTCTGTTTGGGGGTATGGGGGCTGAGTTTGAGGGTAGGTGTGAGAAGGATAAGAGGTTTGAGATGGATAAGAAGGTCCTGGAGGGGGGACATGACTTTGGAGGGGTGTAGGCTGTGGCAGTGCCTGGGACTGAGACACCGTTGGATAGGGAGGCTGGTTGAATGTTGAAGACTGGAATGGCACACTTGACTGTTGAGTTGGTGCTGCTGGTTGGCTCTGGGGGTATTGACAGGAAAGGAAGGACGAGGTGGGTGGGTACTGGGCTGGTGTGTTAAGATCACTGCTGAACTTGCTGAGAGGAGCAGTGCTTGGCCTTGTTGTCAGTAGCCCATTGGACTCATGTGATGCAGCTGCAGCTGCTAAACGTAGGTTATTCAACTCACTATCAGACATATAGTCCCTAGTGTCCCCCATACACCTCAGATAGGCAATATCCCTCCTCTCCCTCTCCTTGACCAGTGTCTCTTTCCTCTGGTGGATCCCCAGCTCAAGGTATCTCAGTTTAGCATCAATCTCTTTCTCTTCCTCTTCCAGTTCAGCTTGCTGCTTTCTCAGCTTGGTTGACTCTTGCTCCACGGCCTTCAGCTCATGGGTGAGGTCTTTGAGGAGGCTGGCTTTAGTAGCCAGGGCAGAACTGGAGCTGGGCTTGAGGCTGGGCACGGAGGGCAGGTAGACCTGTTGGAGGGCAGGCGTCATCATGGGCAGATGAGCTGTTGTAGTAGTCTCCTCTGGAGGAGGGCTGGGCAGGGTTCGTTTAACCTTACGAAGCAGTGAGCTCTGTTGGAGGGCTGCCAGCTAGAGAGAGGGGGGGGGAGAGGGAGGGATTGGAGAGCAGGAGAATTTGGGGGAGACAACAAAGGATGTAAAGAAAGGGATCAGACAGAAATATGGAGAGTGATCAAACAACAGAATGCAAGTTAAATGGAGAGGGATAAGAGATGGGAAATTAGTAGAGGGTATGAGGAATTTTGACAAGAGATAAGATATTTGTGGAATCCAAATCAAAATGTGACATGGACAGAGATCATGGAAGGGCAGTGTAGATGAATAAGCAAGGGGGAAGAATTGTAAAGAGTGAAGTATGAAGAGAGAAAAATACACAATAGGGGAAGATAGAAAAGGAAGGGGGAAAGGACAAAAGCAGGATAGAGAGGAGTCAGGAGGGGTGAAGAGGGATGTTGGAAATGGGTAAGGTGAAAGGGAAAATAAAATGAGAAAAAGAGAAAGGGATAGATAAAAGTAAATATAGTAGAGGGTGTTAGATGGACAGCGGGGGGATGAGATGAACAGAATGGGAAAAAGAGGAAAGAGGAAAACAAAAAGACAAAAAGACCAAGTAACAGAATAAATGGCAAGAGCACACAAGGGAGACAAAGGAGACATATATAGACACAGAGACAAGGATGACGGGAAACAAGAGTGGAGTTTGTGTTAGAAGACGTACAAAAACACTAAAATGAGTGCCAATTGTGGCGCAGTATGCTGTTAATTGATTACAAATATAACAACTGAAATGACCACTGCTTTAAGGATTTTGTGATTCAGTGGCTAACATGTTAAACAACAATTTGCCCCATTTTTGACCAAGCCTACAGCAGCAAAAACTTTAGAAAAACTGACAAAAATCTGTGTATCTGATTATGATTTTAGCTGTACATTTTGACTGCACACTATGGCTCTGAAGAAATACCGAACATGTGTGGGCTGGCTATTTTCCTCTCAAAACCAGCCAAGTGTTAATATCTTGTTCTGATGAGTCAGTATTTTCCTGTAGTTAATCAATATCATAAATGGCATTGGAATGAATGTGGGTTCATTTTTTATGCCTGTAAATACTTGCACTACCCATACAAGTTAACTGTATTTTAAATTTGTAAACACATCACAGTGTATCATGTATTGTTGATCATGTCAATCTGTGTAGGGGTGGTAGCATAAACAGAAAAAATCCAAAGGGTTTTATTATGTAGAT